TGGTCAAGCAGGTTGACGACTGCTGCCTCTTCCAGGTGGCCGAGTACACTTCTGCAGCTTTCATGGTTGAACTTGCCAGAGCCTACGGTCTCAGCTACACATGTTATGAGAACTCGCCGTCAATCATTTCACCATTAGGTAGTGGAAATAGGACTTAAGAAAGATCTCAGCAATTGTTTTATGACGACTTGTAGCTAATTCGAGCATGATTTCAAGCCAGAAGTATATACAACGGATGTTGCCCAAGACACGACTGTGACAACCCATTAGGCGCCATTACATATTGGCATTCACTTCATTGGGTGAGCTAGTTAATTAACTTAGTCTCTGGCTTGACTTGGAATCATGAACTCCTGAGAGTACCGAACCTTTCCTTCTCAGAACATCACTAGAATAACAAAAGCTGAAAAAGAATATCACAGCATTCTCCAAATGCGTACATTCATTTTGTAATCCACTCAACGGAAGAAGATCTACATCATTCACGTGGAGTTCGAACAATCCATTCCTGGAGGAACAGTGACTAACCAAGTTTCCATAGCGGTCTCTATATACATTCTGTTTCGGCAGGTCACAAAGAGGATAACAGCATATAAAAGTATTAATCAGAATACAAAGATTCTGACATTTCGGACAACATCAGTTCGTCTTCAGAAAAATAAGGCTATAGCCTGCATCATTTTAACCTTGTGCCGGGCGTTTTATGTATTCGGTAATATGCCAGTGACATCTGCGCCAAGGCTGTGATTGACACAGCTCGTTGTTCAGCTTCTTACGAGAAAGTTATTCCTTTTCCCGTGCGACGTCTTTCATCTTGTCCCAAGATATCGTACGCTGGTGGACTAGGGCATGTTCTACTACGTCGATTTTTTCACATTATGATTTGATCATCTTGAAAGTCTTCGGCGCCTTCTAGCTTGGGACCTTTCACCTGGCATCAGCGTTCATCCGCCTGATGCATTTTCTTTTGTTCTCGGTCTTCCTTTCCTCAAAAATTTTCCCACTTCGCAACCGTACTGTGAACCCACATGAGCAGGAACAGAAGCTTCTACACCCAACCCTGCTTCTGATGCTCCTGTCTTCAGGTGGCTGAAGCGACTGCGAAGAATTGTACCGAGATTGAATACAATGTTCAAACCATCGTTAATCCAATACGTCGTAACGTTCCGCTCAGCTTACGAACGCATGTGAAGGCGATGTAGATCTTACGTCGAATGAGCAGAGCAATACGGATGGTCTGCACAGGTTTGCTAGACCATCATTTAACATTTTCAGTGAGTAACCGGTTTTGCAAACTCAGTCGGATGTCATTTAATTCTCCATAAAAATCACCTTCCGTCCTATCTGTAGAAGCGTATTGACATATTTTTAACGGTATCTGGATAAGAAAAGGAGTAATGCAGATATCGAGTCGTGGGCGTACTCTAGCAATATACTGTTGTCGAATATCGTGTTTCACTAGTGCATCCAAGAAACGAGGAACTACTTAGCAAAGGTATGGGCAAGGTGATGAAAATCCAAAAAACCGACTGATACAATCCCTGAACAACGCGATTAGAGGAGTGGAGAAGAAGAAAGAAATGGTTATGAACAACGTAAAGGGCTGGAATGTATGCTACAAGTGCATTAGTGTATTGCCGAAATTGCCCTGTCTACCAGAAATACACAAGCCGAATGTCCCGATGATACCCACTGTAGCGTCATCAACATTCATTTCGGCGACAGATTGCACGGCTGTTTCGCCCAACTATTCAATCATACGCCGGTAACAGTAAATCATATAATAAAAACTCAGAAACTTTGTCCAAGAGATTGTTTCACGACAGAACAGCAATCATGATGAGCCACCATTTTAAATAACTTTTCACTAGCAAACCTATGGAATTTGAATTAAACCTAGTTCGAAAACAACTGATGAAAGACGCCGGCCTGAAGAATAAGACGACTTCGCCAATACGTTCCATCAAGCTACTCAGGATATCATTTACTGAATTCAATTACTTCGAATTCAATTGTCAGTCATATCGCAAAAATAAAGGAATCTCAACAGGATTTCCTTTGTTCTCTGCTACGCTAACTTTGCTTATGGAACAATTGAACAAAATGATACGTCCAATCTTCTTCAAGAAGTACGTATATTTGCCCTGTGCAAAAACAGGGACAAAATACCGTTTCTGGAACTTCTGAATAGTCTCTTTCCAAGCGTCATTTTGTTCGCCATGGAGAAGGAAGGCAATGGCAGTTATACTGTTCCAATGTTCTAAGTAAAATACTAGCAGCAGGGATATTCGACAACAGAGTATCGCAAGACGCATATGGATCGGTATCTGCATTAATCCTCTCACGATCCAGAAAGTACTAAGAAAGGTACAGTCAATAAATTTCGCAAAAGAGGAGAAGATTTGCGTAACGGAAGGTAATTCTTGTAAAGAACTGAATCAGGCAGACGTAAAAGTGGCTACAAATTGAAGAGGCTAAATGAACGTCTTGCAAGACTATCCATTCATCTGCCACTGCTCCTCTGGCCGTAAGATCTACCTCACTTTAACACACGTTCGTAAGGTGAGCAAAACATTTTGATCCACTGGGTTTAAAGCCGGTCTGAACAGTCAGTTGAAGATCATGCGAACGGAGGAGCAGATGCTAGGTTGAGTGCACAGGCTCCCTGCTCATGTGGTTCATATATGAAACGGGAAACATCCTTGGGAAAAGGAAAGCCGAGATCAAGAGAAATCCTATTAGATGAAAGAACGCTGGCGTTAAAGAAAAAGGTCTAACTCAAGCAGGCAGAGGACGAAGACAAACGATGGATACCATATGTATCAAAACGGAATGTTAAAAAATTCTCCCATACAACAAATCACCGTGATCCACCGACACACCATGTACTGCGAGAAGATGGAAGGCGCGGGTATCATACAGGAAAAACAGTATCTTACCGTAAAGTAAAGTAGCGCTACTGATCCGCGTAACCAGCTGTTTCAATTGTGACTTTGGCGCAGATGTCAACGAAACAAGTGATCAAACGATCGCTTATAACCAAACGATAAGGGCGGCACCAGTGATCGTACAGATCAATCCGATCCGCACAAAAATGTTCATTGCTACTCTGAATCTACTTACTCTGTAACCTCACTGTTACTGCACAACTGAGATTGGTCGGAAACATAAGAACCTTTGAACGATGCTGAATAAACATCTGATTATTATTTTCCTGTTTTTGACTTGACAAAACGGAATGTCACATCTACATGAAGAACTCGCGCATCATTTTCAATGTATATATGAATATAGTTTTCCCCTGGTAATGAGTTCGCAATAGTGTTGGTATTGCCTATGGGTGGACCCGCATGGCCGTTATATCTTTTCGTGGCGTCGAAGAAAGCAGAAATCACGCCTATTGATCCAATCCGTTGCTGATTTTGTGCGCTCGTAATGTGATCCCTGATGGACAGCTTGCACATTTTACCCATCGCCGTTTGTATGACTATCAGTTTATTCTCTCGGCCTCAATAGAAGAGCAAGATTCAGCATCGTAGATCATAACAGGTAAAAACTTTGAACTGAACAGTTCTTTCTTCGCCCACATGGGCACTTCACTGTCGAGAGGAGATGTTTTAACACTGCTACAAATAGTCCGTGCTGTCTTGATTTTTGTGACGATTAACCTCCAAACCGATTGTGACAAATTCTTCTTGCAACTGCAGGATCTTCTGTCGAAGCTCCACTGTGTCTTGTGCGATGACGATGCAATTATCTGTAAATAAGCTGTCCATCAATATATATACACTAGGTTAGACGGTAAAAGGCTAGCTCCAAAACCATGGCGAAGAGCAGCGGCAAGAAGGTGTCGTTGTGAACTCCCGGACTGATGCTGATGTGGCATGATTCGTTGAACAGCTTATATCAGTCAGTTTTCAACTCCACGAACAGGATTACGTAAACAGGGCCTATTCCATGTTCACAGAAGGCGTTTAACACTCAATCGTCAATTCCATTCAATCAAACGCCGTTCTGTCGTGGATGAAATCAAAACTGAGTGGCACTTGATATTCTTTGCACGTGTCCTTCAGCCGCTGGATGAAATGAACATTTTCGATGATAGAAAAATCTACACCAAAACCAACTTGTTCCCTAATTATGAACTAATTCTAGGTCTATCCGAATACGGTTCAGAATGATGCGCTTGAAACTGCGGGGAGGAGTGTAACTGTTTGGCAGTCTTCAATACTTTAGGCGTTTTGCTCTGTGTTACGTATTCTATCAAAGATTTCGCAACAACCTTAAACAACAGAATCTTAGGTCAAGTAAAGTCAAGCTAACTGCAACAGTAGGCAGCGCCTATTTACCTTTCAGAAATTCGATTCCATGTATACCGCAAAACAAACAAACAAAATCATCGATTAACAACCACTCAAAAATT